ACTAGGTAATTTGTGAATAATAGAAATGTATTGCTCACCGTTCTGGAGGCTGGGAAGTCCATGAACCAGGCACTAGCAGATCTGGTGTTTGGTGAAGGCTCATAGATACTTCATAGATGATGCCTCTTGCTGCATCCTCACATGGTAGAAGGGACCTGGGAACTCCCTTCAACCTCTTTACCTAAGTGACTAATCTTATTCATGAAGGCTCTGTCTTCATGACTTAATCATCTCTTAAAGCCTCCATCTCTTAATACTATCACATTGGTAATTAAGCTTCAACATATAAATTCTGGGGGAACATATTCAGACCATAGCAGACCTTTCCGTAAGCAGACACATAGCAAGATGGAGGTTCCATGGATTACACAAGACCTCAATTCTTGCCCCTCCATATACCTCCAGAATGGAGATCTAACCTCTTAGCAAAACACTTAAAGCCCTTCCAGATCCAAGTTCCCACATGCCTGCTAAACTCTACATTCTATGCCACTGCAAACTCAAATATCTAAACTGGCTTTCCTGTTAGGCAGGATGTGAACCAGCAGTTCTTTGCCTTTGTTTGTGTTATTTCTTCTTCCAGAAATGGACCCTCTCACCACTTTTGATCTGTCTGGTTAACTGTTCATCTTTCAGCCTTAGCTCAAGTATCACCTTCTTGCTGAAGTCTTCTCTGACCACTCTCTGCAGACAGAATGGAATACTCCCTTCTCTCTGTCCCTACAACTTGGACAATTATATGAACACAGCCTCCTGTGACTGTCTCTCCCAAGAACCACAGCACCTTGCCTGATCCCTGGGGCTCAGTACTGGTCCTGGTTGGTTTTCAGACACATTTGTTGTTGCATGAGTCATTAGCTGTGCTGTACCCATCTAGCCATTGAGATATCAAGGAAATGCTTTACTGCTATGGTCAGTCAGGTTCTGCACCGCACCACTGAAGGAAGCACCATAGACATAGATCAAAATAGGAATGGAGCCCCCCAGATTGTACAGTACACCAGCAGGATAGGTGGAGGACCTGCCCATGGCCCATCCTGGCCTTGGATGATGTAGTACTTCTTCATAATCATATCCAGTTACAGTTGCCTTCTACTGAGTGTCACCCAGTCCAGAGGCCCTCACTGAGTGAAAGGGACATCTATTATTCTACAATTAATATATTCAGTACAGAGCCTCATCTTCTTCCTTATAATCTTTCTCTCCCTCTGTCTTTTGATGCTAGGCCTTAGTTCCTGACAGCCCCTATGAAGGTATCTATAAGTTCTTTTCAACTCTGATTTCAGGGGTGGAACTTACCGAACTATTTTCCATGCTACATGTCCCTCCCGCCTTCCTTCTTACCTGCTCCTGAAGCTGAAAGCCATGCCCCTCCCATCCTCGGCTCATTCCTTCTTTCTAGGAGTTGGACCAAACAGTTGGTGAGCTGCACTAATCAGGTTGTCCACGTTAAAGGACCTTCTCTTCACTACTCTTTGCAAAAGATCCTGTGTTTATTTTTTGTTTTGTTTGTTTTGTTTTGTTTTCTCTGAAGTCTGTATGATTTGAAGTATTTCCTCATACTGTACCCCCAAACCAGGTAAGACTATCCTGGCAGCCAATCTGTTATTGACCTAGAGTCCTCTGGGTCACCTGACCTTTCCTGGCTGTCTTCAGGTGAGGACAGTGATTGCTCTGCACTCGTTCATCTCCACCCCACCCCACCTCCGTTTCTTAAACTGTCATATGATCTACAGCCTAAGAATATGCCCGAGGGTGCCAGGGAAGTGGGCCTAACCTACCTTCCAAAGGTTCCCCATGCTGCCCTGAGTGCAGCCCTTGTGAATCAGAGGGGCAGGGGGCTTGGAGCTTAGAAAAGGGTTAGACAATATGAGGAAGTCCAGTTTTCCAGTGGAGATGGGCTGCTTTGTAAGTGCTGATACTTACAAAATAAGTTTGCAACTCTCCGTGGAGTTTGCCATTTTTTCCAACATGGGGAGGATCTGTGTCTGTACTTCCTTTCCCATCATGCCTAGAACAGGGTGGATTACCGAATGTCGACGGCTGATGCGTAGGTCTCATATGGCCACCACTGCTCTTAACCTCTCCCTCTGGTAGCGGTAACTACTGCAATGAGTTACTCCTCCATTTCATTTGATTCATGGGGGCTGCCTGCCTGGCCACTGGTCTTGACATGTGACGTAAGCCAGATAATCAAATAACCCATCCCCCTGGCCATAGTAACTTGCCAAGAGAAGGATGACATGTGACCCACACTGACCAATTAGGGGTTTTCCCGGGATTTTATATATGGGCTCCAGGAAAGAGAAACTCTTTTCTTCCACTGGGATTTCCAACTAGAGTGATGTAAGCCTACAGCTTACATAGTTTGGGACCAGGTCTACCTCCCACTCTTCCTCTTTTGCCTCTGAAATGTATGAAGTCATACATTGAGAGAAGCAGACTTGGAGGTGGGAAGAGAAAACGATGGCAAAAAAGAACTGGGGAGAAAAGGAGAGAAAGAACAGTGGAGGGAAGAGAGAGGTCCTCTGGGATCCAGCACATTTTTTAATTTTTTGAGACAGGGTCTCTGTCACCCAGGCTGAAGTGCCGTGGGGCAATCTCAGCTCACTGCAGCCTCAATCTCCAAGGCTCAAGTGACCCTCCTACCTCAGCCTCCTGAGTAGCTGGGACTACAGGCACTGTGCCTGGCTATTTTATCTTATTTTATTTATTTATTTATTTATTTATTTATTTATTTTGACCTCTGAACTTTTTTCGTTTTCTTTTTGAGACAGAGTCTCCCTCTCTCAGCCAGGCTGGAGTGCAATGGCATGAATTCAGCTCACTGCAACCTCTACCTCCCAGGTTCAAGCAATTCTTCTGCCCCAGCCTCCCAAGTAGCTAGGATTACAGGCACTTGCCATCATGCCCAGTTAATTTTTCTATTTTCATAGAGATGGGGTTTCACCATGTTGGCCAGGCTGCTGACCTCAGGCGATCTGCCCACCTCGGCCTCCCAGAGTGCTGGGATTACAGGTGTGAGCCATTGCACCCAGCCTGACCTCTGAACTTTTTATTGGCCTCCTGCTTCCCGAAGAATACCCTCCTTCTCCTGGCTTAATGTCTCAGAACTTTGGTGTCATTGGTCTCAGACACCACTTTGCCATCCACTATCCAGTGGGCAGTGGTCTTCTGGATGGTTTGCATGGAGTTGCTGATGTCCAGAGCATCACCAAGATTGAAGTCCTCACTGCAGTAGGTGGAGATCTCAACCTCCAGCTTGACCTTGATGTTCGACAGGGCCTCGTACTCCTTCTGTCCCTCTGCCCGGGTCTGTGTCAGCTCTGACTTCAGGTACAGCACAATCCCGTTGAGCTGCTCCATCTGCAGGGTGTAGCGGGCCTCCACCTCCCTCAGGCTGCTCTCCAGTCTGGCCTTCAGATTTCTCATTGAGTCCAGGTCGATCTCCAAGGACTAGACCGTACGTCTCAGCTCCGTGAGTGTCATCTCAGCAGCTCCAACCTCGGTGGACTGTGTGGTGACCACTGTGGTGCTCTCCTCAATCTGCTGAGAGTACTACTTGTCTAGCTCGTATAGGTTCTTCTGAGCCAGCTCATCATATTGGGCCACAATGTCTGCCATGATCTTGGCAAGGTCCTGAGATGTGGGGGCTTCTACCTCCACAGTCAACCCAGAGCTGGCAATCTGGGCTTGCAGGCCTTTTACTTCCTCTTCATGGTTCTTCTTCATGAAAAGCAGCTCCTCCTTGAGAGCCTCAATCTGTCTCCACCTGCAGCCAAGTGACATTGGTGTCATCAATGACTTTGCGGAGTTTATGGATGTCACTCTCCACAGACTGGTGCATGGTCAGCTCTGTCTCATACCTGACTCTAAATTCATCAGCAGTAAGACGGGCATTGTCGATCTGCAGAATGATATGGGCATTGTCCACAGTATTTGCAAAGATCTGAGCCCTTAAGTCCTCGATGATCTTGAAGTAATGGCTCCAGTCTCTGACCTGGGGTCCCTTCTTCTCCAGGTGCTCCCGGATTTTGCTCTCCAGTTTCTGTTCTCAGTCTCCAGGCTCCTCACTGTCCAGGTAAGAGGCCAGGCGGTCGTTCAGGCTTTGCATGGTCTCCTCCTTGTTCTGCATGCCTCCCATTCCTGCCAGACCCTCAACCATCCCCGCAGCCAGGCCCCCAGACCCCATGCCACCCCGGAAGCTGGTGGAGTGGGACACAGAGATCCGGGAACCAGAGCCCCCAGTGCCTGCATAGAGCACCGGCATAGACGCTGGCTGCCCTGCTGACTGGCCGGGTGCCATAGCTGGGCACCTGGACAGAGCCCAGGGACTGGCAGTTGGTGGAGAAGGTGGAGCGAGTGGTGAAACTCATCCCATCTGGGGAGGAGAGCGAGAGGACAGGACTCAGACTTTGCCCTTATTTTTTGTAGAGACGGGTTCTCCCTACATTGCCCAGGCTGGTCTTGAACTCCTGGGCTTGAGTGACCCTCCTGCCTCGGCCTCCCAAAGTGCTGAGATTGCAGGTGTGAGTTGCCAAACCCATTCCCAGCACATTCTTGTGGCCAGTTACCTGTTTACCTCTCATCAGCCTTCAGCTGCTCCCTGTCTCTGCCTCTCTTTGTGCCTTTAGCTTTAACTCATGCCACCAAGCACATAAGTCCCCACATTTTGGGGTCTATGAGGGGATCTGAATGGCTCAGATAGTTACCCTTGTCTCAGTTAGACCCAACTTGTGCCCAGCACCACTTCATGTGTTGGTGATCAATGTATGGATTGGCTGTCCTTAGGTGACAGACCAATTCCCTATGACCAGGGAGATGGGAGTCAATCGTGTAGGAGAAGAAGCCCCAGAAAAGAAGCTGAGGCACGGCAGCAGCTGGCACTGTGCCCACCCAGATCCACCAACCATCCAGAATTGGATTCTTTAATATTTAATATTTATTAATAGGTAGAAAATACTGAGTTGACTGTTTATAACTAACTCACACAGAATCCCAAAAATTAAATAAAAGGGAAGGAGGCATGGGAGGCAAAAAGCAATTTCCTCAAAAAATTCAATTTGTTTTGTTCTCTGTGTCTGATTTCCTTTGGGTTGGCCCTGCTTTCCTTAAGATCTCCAAAACCCCAGACTCGGCTTGCGTCTGGAACCAAGGCAAGACAGGGGCTATTTCTCCAGCCCAGGCGCAGGCCCAGGCCCAAGCCCTGACAATAACAGAGAGGCTGGCTCAACAGTGAGGTCTCTCCAGGATACATTAACCACCGCCTCAGTGTGAAAGATGATCAGCTGTGAGCTTAATTCCTCATAAAATATCACTCAGGCCAGAGCAGGTTAGCTAAATATGTGGTCCTAAGAATTAAACAGAGTTTCCCTTTTAGCTCCAACAAAGAGGGGAAAGGCAGGGCTGCAGGGGTATAATTTTGCAGGAGCCTTCAGGACTGCTCCTGGGCTGGCTGCTAAGTTGCTTGAGGGCGACATCATTGTAATGATAGGGTTAACATTTTCTCATCTCCCACTGGTGCAGCCCTCCCCCTACTAACCATGTACGTTCCTTCAGTGCAAGCGGACATCAGTAGAAATCTAAAGGTTCTCTCCCTCCTTCCCTAGGCACAAAACCCAGCCTCCAATCTCTATAGACTTTAGAGAAAGATGCCAGGAATATAAAGTATGGTGAATGTGCTTTGTCAGAGGTAAGACATCAATGTATGTATAGCATTGGTTTACACATTTTAATTTCATCACTAAAGGAAGTATATGATATTCACTACTTTCCCCCGTATGGCCTTTGATCTAGCTATGCTGGTTTCCTCAATATTCTTTGAACACAGCTGACACCACTCCCGCTCAGGACCTCTGAACTGGCTGTTTCCTCTGCTTGGAATACTTTGCTCCTAGATAACTCTGTGGCATGCTCCCTTAATGTCACCTTTTCCATGAAACTCTCTCTGGTCACTACATTCAAAGCCACTTCAAATTGCTGCTTTTCTTCCTTGCTCTGCTTTTCCCTGCTTAGCCTTATTATTTACACTTGATATGTTTTACTGTTTAAATTGTTTGATCTGTTTCCCCTTATATAATGTAAGCTTCACGAAGGCAGGCATTTAAGTTCAGGGGTACAAATGCAGGTTTGTTACATAGGTAAACTTATGTCACGGGGGCTTGTTGTACAGATTATTTCATCACCCAGGTATTAAGCCTAGTATCCATTAGTTGTTTGTCTTGATCCTCTCCCTCCTCCAACCCTCCGCCCTCTAAAAGGCCCCAGTGTGTGTTGTTACCCCCGTGTGTCCATGTGTTCTTATCATTTAGCTCCTACTTATAAGTGAGAACATGAGGTATTTGGTTTTCTGTTCCTGTATTAGTTTGCTGAAGATAATGGCTTCCAGCTCCACCCATGTCCCTGCAAAGGACATGATCTCATTCTTTTTTACAGCTGCATAGTATTCCATGGTGTGTGTATGTACCACATTTTTGTTATTTTTCTTTATCCAGTCTATCATTGATGGGTATTTAGGTTGATTCCATGTCTTCGATACTGTGAATCGTGCTGCGTGAACATACGCATGCATGTGTCTCTATAGTAGAATAATTTATATTCCTTTGGGTATCTACCCACTAATGGGATTGCTGGGTTGAATGGTAGCTCCACTTTTAGCTCTTTGAGGAATCACCACAATGTCTTCCACAATAGCTGAACTAATTTACACTCCCACCAACAGTGTATAAGCGTTCCTTTTTCCCCACAACCTCGCCAGCATGTTATTTTTTTTACTTTTTAATAATAGCTATTCTGACTGGTGTGAAGTAGTATGTCATTGTGGTTATAATTTGCATTTCTCTAATGATCATTGATACTGAGCTTTTTTTCACATGCTTGTTGGCCACATGTATGAGGTCAGAGATTTTCATCTATTTCATTTACTGCCTCATCTCCAGCAATTAGAACAGTGCCTGACCTATAATAGATGCTCAATAAACATTTGTTGCATTTGTGAATGTGTCAGAATGAGCCTATATTTGGGGTTAGATATGGGTTTAGATGTATCCACAGCCAATTATGAACAGTGAGACCTGGGTACATGACTTCACCTCTCAGAGTCTCAATTTTCTTATCTGAAAGTTGGATATGACATCTATTTCATAAGGTCCTGGGAAATGTCAACAAGGTAATGCATATAAAGGGTTGAACACATTGTCTGGCTAGGAAATAAGTAACTGACAAGTTGTATTACTATTGCAAGAAGAGTAAGTGGTTGCCACTTCCGAGGTGCTTGAGAACATTTCAACAGAAACACAAAGAAAAATAAAAAGCATCCCAAACATTATAAATCATGCTGCTATAAAGACACATGCACACGTATGTTTATTGTGGCACCATTCACAATAGCAAAGACTTGAACCAACCCAAATGTCCATCAACGATATACTGGATTAAGAAAATGTGGCACATATACACCATGGAATACTATGCAGCCATAAAAAAGGATGAGTCCATGTCCTTTGTAGGGACATGGGTGAAGCTGGAAACCGTCATTCTCAGCAAACTTTCACAAGGACAGAAAACCAAACACCACATGTTCTCACTCATAGGTGAGAACTGAACAATGAGATCACTTGGACACAGGATGGGGAACATCACACACCAGGGCCTGTCATGGGGTGGGGGGAGGAGGGAAGGATAGCATTAGGAGATATACCTAATGTAAATGACAAGTTAATGGGTGCAGCACACCAACATGGCACATGTATACATATGTAACAAACCTGCACATTGTGTACATGTACCTTAGAACTTAAAGTATTTTTTAAAAAATAAAAGCATCCAAATCTGCCTGGATTGGGAACAGGACAAATGAATCTCGTGCACAAGGAGAACTTGATATGTAAACATCTGTATGTGTGTGTGTTTGCTTGTGCACATGTTCAGGTACCTCTCATTCATATAGAAGGCAGACTTTCATGGGTTTTCATTCCCATGGCAGTGTTTCCAAGTTTCCTATTTGTATTTCTGCACATACACAAGCATTGTGAACATGACACACTTGCACAGGCATGCACATGCATGAATACACACGCACACACACGTGTGCACACATGTTCCTCCACCCCAACCCCTAACCCAAGGGGTGAGGCTCTCTGGTAGGGCAGCTACTTCACTATTCCTGGCTTGCAGGATTTATGTCCTTATAGCCATGTTGCACTGAAGTTCCTTGCTAGACACTGCACCTGCTCCAAGCATGGCTCTCTGTTCCTCTTCCCCAACCCTCTTGCTAGCTCAGACTGTACTTTCTAAGTCCCTTCTTGAAAGGACACCTCCCTTCAAGACTCAGAAACCTCTAGTGGTCTGATTGCAAAGGAGAGTGAGGACACTAGATAAACAAATACCAGTCCTGGCCCCAGGTGTCACTGAGAGAAGCCACAACACTGAGCCAGAGTTTAAAATGGCAATGGTTTTCTGGAGGACTTTCCTATGTGGCGAGGCATGCTGAGGTCTAGACTGGGGGCAGCTTTCAGGGTAGAACCAGCACCTGCTGGAAACAGTTCGTGTCATTATATAGCCCCTAGCCCCTCCATCCTACCCCATCTGCCCTCTCTGCCATAGTGAAAGTAGAGTCCTGGTAAAAGCACTAACTTTAGAATCAGGTGGTTTGGGGATTAGAATCTCAGCTCCAATACTTGATAGCTGTGAGAAGTTCAACCAGTTTCTTATTCTCTCTGAACCATGATTTTATCATCTGTTGAATGATCTGAACTCCTTAGAATTACTGGAAGGATTTAAATCAGAGTCACCATGTATTGCTGCTCAGGTTGTGCACTGCACAGTTCCAGGGAGCCATCACTGATATGGGCTATAAAATAAATGACAGCCCTTGGACTGTGCAGGACATAACCCATATCAACTTACGTGATAATACATGTGTGAAATAACATGTTAAAAGCACCTGGTCCAAGGCCTGGCACCTAGTAGGTGCTAAATAAATGGTGGCCAAAAAATAGGTTTATTAATCATGCCTTTAATTCACAGAAAGGCACCCATTGGCCAGGTGCTGTGGCTCATGCACATGATCCCAGCACTCTGGGAGGCTGAGGCAGGCAGATAACTTGAGGCAAGGAGTTTGAGACCAGCCTGGCCAACAGGCAAAACCCCATCTCTTTAAAAAAAAAAAAAAAAAAAAAAAAAAAAAACAGCTAGGCTTGGTGGCACACACCTGTAATCCTAGCTACCTGAGAGGCCTGAGGCATGAGACTCGCTTGAACCCAGGAGGTGGAGCATGCAGTGAGCCGAGATTGCACCACTGCACTCCAGCTTGGGCAACAAAGCGACACTCTGTCTCGAAAAAAAAAAAAAGAGAAAAAAGAAAGGCACCCATATAGCCTTCATTGCCTGCTGACATAATGGCTGAGGGTAGGAAGTTCTAGCCATGGTAATATACAAGGCAACTTCAGTGGTGATGGGATATGATGTCCTCGGGACATCCATTTTTATTGTTCTTTAGATTCCAGAGTTTAAGAGTTTGCTCATGGCTTTTGCTCACTGGAAATTTTCTTGGTGAACAATCAGATATCTTGCAGTACTAGGATGTGTGCGCTCTTGGAATCATTTGGTCTTAATGAGGTGGGATTTGCTTTAAGTGGAGTATAATTGCCCTCCCCCATTAAAATATTTTCTCTTAAATCAAAACATTATGTATGATGTCCTTTTAAACATAGCTGACCTTTAAAAAGGAGAATCTAGATGCTCAGACCTCCAACCTCAATCCTTATGGTCTGGTAACTACCCCTTCTATACCCAGGCAGAGATAGGAACTTTACTTTCTGGTGAGGTCAACTCGTAGACGTGGCGTATACCTGAGAGAGGTAGAAGATGCCTACTACACACAGGATTTACATTGTGAAAAGTTGGACTGTCAAATATGGTGCCCCTACCTGCGTGCCATAAAGCTACAGCCAAACCTAAACCACACCACCCCAGGTAGCAGGCTGGAGGGTTCTAATCAGTCCAGATAATTGGCTTAAAAATATGAACAACAAGGATTTCCAAGTGAAATAGCTAGGTCCCACTCAGTCAGCCTATAGTGAAGTTCACCAGCTGCTAAGCCACACTAACAAGCAAAGAACCTCCAATCGGCAGTTCAGAGCCTCTCTCCTAGAGGTTCATCAGATACTGAGGGACTGATTTTGACATGGAAGATAGAGACTAAAAATAACAATCATAAAGAGCACAAGAAAGAGAAAGAGACGAGAAAAGAAAGGAAGAAAGGAGGGAGGGAGGAAAGAAGGAAGTAACTGACACAATTAATACAAAGCAGGGGCAAAATAATACTGACCAACATAGTGAAACCCTGTCTGTACTAAAAATACAAAAATTAGCCATGTGTGGTGGCACGCACCTATAGTCCCAGCTATTCAGGAGGCTGAGGCAGAAGAATTGCTTGAATCTGGGAGGTGGAGGTTGTAGTGGGCCAAGATCGCCCCAGTGCACTTCAGCGTGGGCAACAGAGTGAGACTTCATCTCAAAAAAAAAAAAAAAATATATATATATATATACACATACACATATATATGGGCCGGGTGCGGTGGCTAACACCTGTAATCCTAGCACTTTGGGGGGCCAAGGCGGGTGGATCATGAGGTCAGGAGATCAAGACCATCCTTGCTAAAATGGTGAAACCCCGTCTCTACTAAAAATACAAAAAATTAGCTGGGTGTGGTGGTTGGCACCTGTAGTCCCAGATACTCAGGAGGCTGAGGCAGGAGAATGGCATGAACCCAGGAGGCGGACCTTGCAGTGAGCCGAGATCACGCCACTGCACTCCAGCCTGGGCAAAAGTGCGAGGCTCTGTCTCAAAAAAAAAAAAAAAAAAAAAAAAAAATATATATATATATATATATATATATATATGATTAGTAGTCATGATGAGAGAAGATATTGCAACTATAAAATAAGAATGAAGTTCATAAAAAGAGAAGAACAAGAATGAACTCATAGAAATGAAAAATGTGAGAGCCGAAATAAAAATGCAACAGATGGATGAGAAGATACAGTTGAGGACATTCCCCAGAAACTCTAACATTACAACAGAAATGGAAAATGAGAGAAAGTGAGATCTGTCTGGAGATCCAAAGTCTAAATAACCAAGAGAGGCAATGGAGGAGGGGAAACATCAAAGAAAGAAATAGAAGAACTTTAATGAATGGAGGAATCTAAGTTTTCTAGATTAAGGAGGACTTCAAAGAGCCTAGCATAATGTAGGAATTCTCAAATCAAAGTCTGTCATTCCAAAACTTTAGGTCACCAGAAATGAATAAAAGCTCTTAGGGAAAAATAGACATCAAAATGTCATCAAACTAGAAAATGATAGAACAGTGCTTTTAAAATTCAGAAGGAAAGTTATTTCTAACTTTGAATTCTTTAGCCTGCCAAACTATCAGTCAGAAGCGAATATAGAATAGAGACATTTTTAGAAAATGCAGGGTCTTAAAAAAATTACCTCCCATATACCTTTCTTAAAAAGTTACTGAAGGATATGCTCCATCAAAATGAAGGAGTAAACTGAAGAAAAGGAATGGGATCAACAGGTAATCCAGTACAGGTGAGAAGAGACCGGGAATTTTCAGGAGGATGGAAAAGAAAAGGCCAAGAAAACAGCTGTACAGCAATTCAAAAGGAAAACTAATCCAGAGCAGAGCAGGAGAAGAGAGATATCTAGAAAGTGTCTCTGGGGATAAAAAGTAAAAGTGGTAGATTATCTGATATGTTTTGTTACGTAGAGAGGCATTCTATAGCTGTACAAATATTTCACCAGAAATTTGACAAACACCAAACATTTTTTAAAAAAACAATTAAATATAAGAAAAATAAAACATTCTGTAATTACCTCATATAAGGACTCTTAAATTTTCCTCTCCATAATATATCTTGAAAAATTATTCCACTTTTCAGACAACTATTATTTGTCTTTTATTTTTGTTTTGGGGATAACAAATTTTTACCCAGAAGCACACTAAATATATGTGCTGCAAGACATGATAATTTGACATTACAATTTCAGGCAATGACATACCTACTAACTGATTCAACATTTCCATTCATAGACTAGCATACTGGGCAAATTTGAGTTACTTGCCACATATAGATGAGCCCCAAGTGCTTTGTTACGCAAGGAGTGCCAAATAAGAAAGATCTTCTACAACACTTTAGTCTTTTGGGTGTGCATACTGTTTCCACGTTTTGAGGTACTCTCATATTTAGCTTTTATTTAGCCCTACAGGTGTAGTTCCATATCGTTTTTAAGCGCAGCTTGAGCAAATGATAACTATGACCCCCAATAGTTGATAAATACAATGGTGCAACAAGAACATACCTTCCAGAGAATGACTCCCTCTTCCATCACACACTCAAGTCTACTCCTCCTCCTTTGGTGAATAAAGTCAAGTCTTTATTATAACAACTCATTGTGCATTATTTATTTAAGCTTGTTTTTATTGTTCATTTGATATTTTTTCCTATCTGTGAAAGTTGAGCATCTTGGGTTGGGATGCATTAATACTTTCTCCTGTTAATATTCATGAGTTTTTTATTCTTCCATTTAACAGGTCTTCACTTAGTGGCAGGGTTTTCAGGGTCAAATTAAAGTCCTTAAAAGAAATAGGTGTCAGGAAAGGAAATGTAATTACATGACCTGGATCAGCAGTAAATAACACATGGTCCAAGTCATAAAAACAACAAATACAAATTGAATAAAAATAAGAATTGGGCCGGGAGTGGTATAAGTGACTTAAGCCATGTTGGGAAGATGAACAAAGAATTGTATTCAAAGGGTGCTGTAACATAATTGTCTTTGTACTCCTTATTAGAAAGTCAATATGTAACATATAAATTTGAAGTATCAAGAATAGCAATATAAACTTGTTATTTAGAAAAATGGAAATAAATACTTAAAAAAACATCTAAAGCATTGAACGTGCTTGCCTCTGGAAATGAGGACTAGGGTGAAGAGAGAGACAGGATACTGCTTTTCATTATGTTTTATAGGACTGTTTGACTTTCTAAAGTAATAACTAATAAAAATTAAAATTACATTTAAAAAGGCAATAAATATTCATTGGAGAAAACTTGGAAAATACAAAAATGGAAAGAGAATAAAATAAAAGTCATTCATAACATATCTACCCAGAAAAGCTGCTGATGAAACAATTGTAGGCTAGTTTCGAGTTTTTTTACTATACATACGTACATCCAAGTTTTTAAAATAAAAGTGAGATCGTATTATAAATATTGTTTTGCAACCTGCATTTTTTTCCTTAAGGTAATTGTGGCAAATTTTCCTATATTAATATTCATATACTACATCATTTTAAGGGCTGTATATTCCCCATTATACAAATATACTATAATTTATTTAATTCAACCCAATATTTACCATTAATTATTCAACCAGCATAATTATTCCAGCAAACAAATGCGACTTTTGATTCTTTTGAAAAGATAGTAGAAAGGAATTTTCTCTATCCTATGTTCAATTGTTGTCAATAATTTCTATTTTGCTTTACTAGCAAGGCTGAGATATTTGACTTGCTCTGAGATTCTCCCTGGACAATTCACACTCTTTTAAAAATTCTCTCTCCCTTTAAAATTGTAAAAGGAATGTGTATGTGGCAAATAGATGTTCTTGCCTGATAGTGACCATTTTCTCATCGTTAGGAAATAGCACCTCGGTTTTTCTTCCTAGAATCCCTCCTCCCTCTCAGACAATGGCTCAGCCTATCTGGTTTGGGTGAAACTGAACCCACCTCTGGTCCAGGGTGACCATATGATCTCACCTGGTCCCTCAGCCTAATTCATCTTTCCAGGCTCCATAAATGTTCCAGGGATGGATGTATGGCCAGAAAGGATGCAACAGAGTCAACACCACAGCTTTCGGTAGAAACTTTAGGGAAAAAGATTTCTCTTTCTTTTCACAGGGATGGCTGAGCTGATAAAAGTTTCAGTCTGGGGTGACTGGTGACCATTTGCTACTGCAAAGGGAAAGCCTGCCTGAGGATTCAGCCAAAGAGGAAGAAAGATGATCAAAAGATCTAAAAAGGCAGAATCATGACGACACCTTTTGAGCACCTGGATCCAGCACTGCCCAATGCTCCCAGCCAGTTACAGGAACTAATACATTTCCTTTTTTCCTTAATCTCTTTTGAGTTGGGGTGCTGTCATCTGCAAGTGAGTATATATGTTAATAATATATACTCAAAGTCAAATAACTCAAACAGTATTGGTAAAAAGTGAAAACTAAAACTTCCTCTTTTCTTCCCCAGATTCTCAGTCCAAACACCCCACAGACAATCACTTCTCAGTTTCTTAACTATGCGCCAAAATGTGTCTGTGCATTTACAAATATACCAATTTCCAATTTTTGAAATATACAAACACGATTATACTATCTATACTATCTTGTAGCTTGTGTTTTTACTTTACCATGAGGAAAGAAGATACCTTGCCTTGTACAAATCTAGATGTTTACTTCATTTTTTCCTAAGACTTTTTTTTTCTTGAGATGAAGTCACACTCTGTTGTGGGCTGGAGTGCAGTGGCATGATCTCAGCTCACTGCAACCTCCACCTCCTGGGTTCAAGTGATTCTCCTACCTCAGCCTCCCAAGTGGCTGGGATTTCAGGCACATGCCACCATGCCTAGCTTTTTTTTTTTTTTTTTTTAAGTAGAGACGGGGTTTTACCATGTTGAGCAGGCTGGTCTTGAACTCCCAACCTCAAGTGATCTGCCCACCTTGGCCTCCCAAAAGGCTGGGATTACAGGCGTGAGTCACTGCACCCGGCCATTTTTTCTAAGACATTTACTTGCATGTTTTCATTTTGCAAAGGAGTGTATTATATGGACATCCCATATTCTAACCAGTCCTGTACTGATGACCATTTAGGTTTACCCAGTTTTTCATCATTAAAAACAGGCTGTGATGGGCATCATTCTTTTATCATTTTGTGCAGCATATCCACAAAGCCAAAGAAGTTTATGCTTCTAGCGCCTCATTGTCCAGGCCCCTTCCAGGGAGCTGCCATTTCATTTACTGTCACAGGATTCAGGTAAGTGAATGCCAGCTGCACAACGTAAGAGTGACGTCCAGTAATAGTACTACTGTCCCGTGCCAACTCGCAGGGGTCAAGATCCAAAGTTACAGGACCCTGGGCCATGTCTCAGTAAAAACATGCCCGAGGACAACAGGTACAGAATTTTACAGAAGTGGAAGAGACCTGGTTTGAAATGTACAGAACCAGAAGCTAGTCTGGGGAAAGTTCCAATTGTCAGAGGAATGAAAATGATTTTGATTCTCACGAAAGTCTACCGGAAACATAATATTTCAGCATGTACAACAAAAAATGTACCATATGTTTTTTTTCTTTTTTGACTAGAACCCGGGAGAATAAAATGTATCAAGATTCTGCCTTTGTAGGGCCGAATCTGCAGTAACACCAGAAGCAGTAAGTATATGTCTGTATGAAGTGGCATGTTTTCTCATCATGACTATCAATAATAAAGAACAAATTTCCATTTGCTGTGCCATAGGAAAGACTGAACTATCTTCCTACTCTCTTTATGAAAAGTGATATTTCAAAATTGTTGTCATATGAATCAGAAGCAATCAAAGAGTACGCAGCCAAAAACTGTAGGAAAGAAGGCATTGTAAAAGCACATGAAGCAGTAAATTAATAAGAACATTGTTATTTTTCTGAATTTTGTGATGATGGTATTTGGTAGCTTTTTAAAATGTGTGACTTTTGCAGTTTATTTTCTCTTTGCAAATAAATATTCATTGTGTGCCTAACTTGTATGTGTAATTTTGTGTTTTTTTAAGAGGCTCTCTAAAATTGTCTGAAACACAGGCTCTGCAAAACTTGCTTCTGCACCTGTGTAGAGGATGAACACATGATCTGCAGCCAGACCTCCCAGCTTCAGATCTCAGCGGGGCCATCTGCCAGCTTTATAATGCTGGGTGGTTTACTTTGCCTTTCTATGCCTCAGTTTTCTTATCTATGAAATGGGGATAATAACTTCAAAGGGTTTTTTGTAGGATTAAATGAGTTAATACATATAAAGAACCCAGAAGCTGGCTATCATTAATCATAAATAACAACTATGTTTGTTTCTTTTTTTTTTTTTTGAGACACAGTCTCACTCTGTTGCCCGGGTTGGAGTGCAGTGGCATAATCTCAGCTCAATGCAGTCTCCGCCTCCCGGGTTCAAGTGATTCTCCTGCCTCAGCCTCCCGAGTAGCTAGGATCACAGGCACCCATCACCATGCCTGGCTACTTTTTGTATTTTTGGTAGAGACAGGGTTTCACCATCTTGGCCAGCTTGGTCTCGAACTCCTGACCTCGTGATCCACCCGCCTCGGCCTCCCAAAGTGCTGGGATTACAGGCGTGAGCCACCATGCCCGGCCACAGCTATGTTTATCTCTTATGCACATGTGCAGGTATTTCTGCAGGATGCTTTCCTAGAATTATAAGCCCTGGTACAAGAGTACACACTTGATGGATTTTAATAGAGAATGCCAAATACTCTTCAGAAAGCTGGGCTAACTTACCACCACCCTACTGTGTACATAGTGACATATCTCAGAACCGAGGAGTCAGGAAGTCCATCCTGGGTGACTCTAAGGCTTGGGTTCTTACTTCATTCCAGACTAGCCCAGTTCCCTGAACATGTCCAGGTCAAGTTGGTTTGGTGGCTACAGGGAATTGCAGGCCCTGCTCCCAGCTGACACTCCCGTCAATCTTGGCAACACCTTACATTTACAACATGCCTTACCTTTTATTGAGCACAGTGGCCCTGTAGGTTAGGCAGGTCAGGGCAGTGATTAATAATTTATGGAAGAAGAAATTATGTCTCACATCAGCAAGAGACCTACACAAGATTACTCCAACTGGTAAGTATTAGTTGGGGCAAAAGAAATTGCAGTTTTTGCCATTAAAAGTAATGGTAGGCCGGGCGCGGTGGCTCAAGCCTGTAATCCCAGCACTTTGGGAGGCCGAGACGGGCGGATCACGAGGTCAGGAGATCAAGACCATCCTGGCTAACCCGGTGAAACCCCGTCTCTACTAAAAAATACAAAAAACTAGCTGGGCGAGGTGGCGGGCGCCTGTAGTCCCAGCTACTTGGGAGGCTGAGGCAGGAGAATGGCGTAAACCCGGGAGGCGGAGCTTGCAGTGAGCTGAGATCCGGCCACTGCACTCCAGCCTGGGCGACAGAGCGAGATTCCATCTCACACACACACACACACACACAAAAAAAAAAAAAAAAAAGTAATGGTAGGTCCGGTGCGGTGGCTCACACCTGTAATCCCAGCACTTTAGGAGGCCGAGGTGGGCAGATCATCTGAGGTTAGGAGTTCGAGACCAGCCTGGCCAACATGGTGAAACCCTGTGTCTACTAAAAACACAAAAATGACCCGGGCATGGTGGCGGGTGCCTGTAATCCCAGCTACTCAGGAGGCTGAGGCAGGAGAATTGCTTGAACCCAGAAGGCAGAGGTTACAGTGAGCTGAGATTGCGCCATTGCACTCCACCCTGGGCAACTAGAGCGAAACTCTGTCTCCAAAAAAAAAAAAGTAATGGCAAAAACCACAATTACTTTTACCTCAACCTAACAGGAGGGAGAGGACCAAGAACCCAGGGCTCAAGCCTGTGATTTTAAAGGAAACTGGTGTGTTTCCTTGTGGTACCTCATTGTCTCTCAAAATTCTATTAAAATGAAATATACTTTTTAAAATGGCATATATTCACAATGAAATATATCCTTTTCTCCAGGTCAGTAGTGAAAAGCAGGCATTAAGGCTATATAATATACTAAAAGGGCACCTCTTAGAAAAATAAATTTAATTGCAGCCTCTTGATTCAAATGAAACTCACTCTGTTTTAAACTTTCAATTATAGTAAGATAAAGCTGCTGAGAATGTGCTTTCCATCCTAATTTGAGACTTCAGATGGCAGCTCCTTTTGTACTTCTATCTTTAAAAAACTGCCTCCCCCCAGCCCCCAATCTTGTTATCTTCTCTTTGACTTGCCAAACAAATCTAGTCCAAAAAAATAAAACTGATTAAATGCCTAAGGGAAGGAAGTGAAGAGCTTAAAATCGGTGGAATCTGTTACCACATGTTCGGGTTAATTTAACTTTGCTCACATGACAAATTAGAAAGGAAAAGGAAAATTTGCATACAAGGACAATTAAGAATAAACTAGAGGTGTCATTTGCCCCAAATTAGGACAGGATCCCATAATTTGTTTTTCCACTGAAAGAGTACTTTCTGGCAAGCAGGGACTACTGAGTGCATGCTTTTCTTCTCTGATGTCATGAGCAAGTGGGCGCTTCATCACAAAGGGAGGCTCAGCCCACAGTGAGCTGTGCCTCAGGCCTCCTCTTCAGCAAGCCAGGCTAACCACATGGTGGTGTTTCCATGCCCTAGCTGTTTAGCTTATATAAAATGTGAACATGCCTAGGGTCTGTGAAAGTGCATCCAGGTCTGGTGGCAGATAGACAATAGGTAGATGGATGACTGATGGAAAGATTCATATATAGATTGTTCCATAGATAGACAGCAAGGGGATTTATTTTATGTAACATGGTGGCTCCCAGACCACCTTCTAGCCTGCCTGCCCTGGTGATTTTCACATACTATGTCTGTCCTCAAAGCTCTAAGAATACTCAAAAGACCCCCTCTGTAAGTATAATAATGGGGATAAATTTTTAATGTGCAGGACATAGCATTCAGTAGCCACTTTGTTATTCCAGCTGCCACAGGAAGTTTCTCTCTCTCCTTAGCAAAGAAAAGATGCATGCACTTAGAAATGCCCAGCTGCTGACAGTCTTGAATTATCCAGAGATTTGCCTCTTAAAATGAGCTTTACGGCTGGGTGCGGTGGCTCACACCTGTAATCCCAGCACTTTGGGAGGCCGAGACGGGCGGATCACGAGGTCAGGAGATTGAGACCATCCTGACTAACACGGTGAAACCCCGTCTCCACTAAAAAAATACAAAAAACTAGCCGGGCGTGGTGGCGGCGCCTGTAGTCCCAGCTACTCGGGAGGCTGAGGCAGGAGAATGGCGTAAACCCGGGAGGCGGAGCTTGCAGTGAGCTGAGATCCGGCCACTGCACTCCAGCCTGAGCGACAGAGCCAGACTCCGTCTCAAAAAAAAAAAAAGAAAAAAAAAAAAAAATTAGCCAGGTGTGGTGGTACCCACCTGTAGTCCCAGCTACTCGGGAGGCACTTGAACCTGGGAGGCAGAGGTTGCAGTGAGCTGAGATCACGGCATTGCACTCTAGCCTGGGTGACAGAGTGAGACTCCATCTCAAAAAAAAAAAAAGGAGGTTTACAAGAGCTCAAAGGCCAACTAACCCAAAATAGGAGCTGGCAAACTTCTTACCCCCTCACTGGTGGACCTGAAGGATAGATATAGAGTGGGCTCTGAAGTTGTTGAGCATCTGGTTGTGGTATCAGTGATGGTATTTTTTATTTGTTTGCTTATTTTCTTAATAAGTAACAGACATGAGATCTGGTGAATTTAATAAAAACAAAATGCAAGAATTTATCAAAAGGCTATATGAGAGCATAGCAAATTCTAGGAAAAGCTAAGCCAACAGTAGGAACCCCAGTAGCTCTGGGAGTCTGGGTAGAAGAAACTATTAATGGGCAGTTACAGCAAATAACTGCCTTTGAGAAAAGTCTGTTCAAATGATTTTCCTATCAGGTTGCTCCACCTGATTCCTAACTGGGTGAGAGCATCTGATTAGCTCAATGTTAACCCAAGGCAGGGGATACAGGACACAGGGACAGAAACCTGTATACCTGATTCATACCATTGGGTGAGGACGTCTGATTAGCAGGGACAGAAGCCTGTATACAGTGGTAAAGGAGTGATTCCCCAAAGACCAGCTGCTGCTATATATATTTTTAAAAGGCCAAAGGGATGTGGGCAAGCAAAAGCAACAGATATCCATCACACTCTAGTTTTTGCCTGTAACCTAAAGAAAGAGGTGTGTTTTCTCGCTTGGAGAAAACCCTTGGGCCCTTCCTAGGGTTTCCAGCCCAAAGCATGAAATACCCAGTACTCTATTTCAGGAAACTAAAGATTGTACTCAGGAACAAAATTTCCCCATCTTTACCTCACATATCAAGGACAAGCTCACCTAAACCTTCAAAGGAGATAATGGGTCCAGGGTATAGACAAGGGAACATCCAAGCACAAAGTAGTGTAGCAAGAGCTATGATAGGGAGGTGCAGAGTCCTACAGGAACACACAGCATGACACCTGGCCTGGCCTGGGCTCAGAAAGAGTCAAGGAGGAGTTGAGGGTAAGTGAGAAGCTGGCAATCTACAAAGAAGTGTCAGATGTCTGAAGGTAAGAAGAGGAGCAGGTGACACACTGGAGGAGGTGAACCTGGTCGGTCAGACAGGAGGACATGGGGGTGGCAGTAGATTAAGCTATTGACTCCAGTTCTTCACCCCTCCCTGCAGCCTCAACTTTGCTGTGGACAGGATGAGGAGAGCCTCTCTCCCCATTTACTTTGGCTTAGCCGTGAGATCTAGTAGGTATGTCTCTATGCCAATCCTAAGAGGCATTTTCATAGCTTAGGTCTTAGGCATTGGGCGTTCCATGTGCCCCCATAAGCCACTGCCATGAGAAGAATGGGCCCCACCTAGCTTGATGGGCCAAGAAGGATGAGAGACACATGGAGAAGGGCCACAGAAATGCAACTAGAAGTGGAGCCAGACCCAGTCTAGGTCACCCAAACCCCAGTCATGAAAGGCCTTGTATACCTGTTAAGTTGAACTTGATTCTAAGGGCAATGGACTCTATTGAGGTGTTTGGGAAGTGACACCCAGATCAGCTTTTTTAAAAGCTCACTCTGATTGGTCCGTTAGGGCGGTGGGGAGACAGATTCCCTGAAGTTCACAACCTTACTTTTTCAACGTTTTTGGCTTACAAGCATATCTTATAAGCATGCTTTTATTAATTAATAAGAAATTAACATTGTATATTCATTATAAACTCAACTATAGGCATAGAAAACATAGAACATATATAATTAGAAAAAACATGTGTCTAAAGGTTTACAATGATTATCTCTGGATGGGATTATGGTTATTATTTT